TTTTCACTGCATATAAATGGCAGTGGTGAGTTATATAACAGATTATATCCTTAATTCAAATTTAATATCTTTGATCTATGTGAATATATATTTTTTTACCATTCTGCAGGATTGGAGGGTTCGTCGCATTCCTTGTCTACATGATCACAACATTTTCATTATACGTTCCAGATTGGAGTTTTGTGGTAGACGAAAAGGACGGACCAAAAAAATTCTTGGTATGTATATTTGTTTCGGACTAACTATATCGGAAGCTTTCAGCATACATTACAATTTCTGGCACTGCTTAACATTTACCTTTTTTTTTTCCAGGTGAAGTGTGGGATGAGAGGACATCTGGGACCTGCCTGCAATGCCGTTGGATATGTGGATCGACAGGTCTGGGGAATAAACCATCTCTACACACAACCCGTCTGGAGACGCTTGAAGGTTAGCTCTTAGCTCTACTTGATGCAGTTTTATACTGAGTGCACTACATTGTGTTTGTGTATGCGTATTTATAATAGAGGCGTGACTTACAGCAAGGGTTTGTTACTTGTAGCTCAAGTCATTACGAGCATTTATGCATGAACCTGAGGTCCTGCGTTATGAGTTTGTTGTTAATATAATATGATTTTTAATTTGTATGTGACAATTTTGTAGGCCTGCACGCTTAGCTCTCCGAGTGATGGTCCTCTTCGAAAGGGTGCTCCAGATTGGTGCAGGGGGCCATTTGAACCTGAAGGCTTGTTGAGGTATGTCAGTTGACCAACACTAAAACCAGGGAAAGTGCATACTTGTAAGGAACAAATGTGAAACTTAACCACTTTTGGTCACTCTTCTTTCGCAGTTCGATTTCAGCTATCCTTAGTGGCGTCATTGGCATCCATTATGGCCACATTTTGATCCATTTCAAGGTTACCCATCTCTCTAAACTCGCAGATTACTGCAGTACTTCTCAGTTAAATTTGAAATTTCAATAAGGATGATGAAGTTGGGTTCTCATGCAGGGTCACGCGGAGAGGCTCAAACAATGGGTCTCAGTGGCTGTTGTCATGATCATCATAGCCGTCATTTTACATTTCACAGACGGTAAGCTTCCTTCCCTTTTTGGTGCCTTCTTGGCTACGCGTACGTCTCAAGCAATCTATGTTTTTAGGTTTTCTTAATTAACGTGTCCACTCGCTTTCAGCTATTCCTATCAACAAGCAACTCTACAGCTTCAGCTATGTTTGTTTCACCGGCGGTGCAGCTGGACTAGTTTTTTCTGCATTTTACTTATTGGTAAGCCAGTTAAATATGTTCAAGCCCGTTCACATTTTCATTTCAAGTGCAATTTAGAAACTAATGCAGAGATAATTAATGACTATCTGCTATATGATGCACAAACAGATCGATGTTTGGGGCTTTCGGACGCCATTTTTGTTCCTAGAGTGGATAGGAATGAATGCAATGCTGGTGTTTGTGATGGCAGCTCAGGGCATCTTCGCAGCATTCGTAAACGGATGGTATTATGAATCCGAAGACAACAACCTAGTAAGTAGTGTACCAACCCTCCTTGTAAAAAATCATACAAAATTGCTTTTCTTCGTAACAATTTCCCGGAACTGTTTACAGGTGAATTGGATCCAAAACCACGTTTTCATCGATGTGTGGCACTCAGAGAGGCTGGGAACCCTCTTATATGTGATATTTGGTGAGATCTTGTTCTGGGGAGTAGTTGCAGGCATCTTGCACAAATTGAAGATATATTGGAAGCTCTAGAACCAGAAATTGTTGTCACATTCGAGAACTGATTTCCGTCCACCTCGTTTCTCTTTACCCACACTTTTCGTTACTTTTGTTTGTTGATCCTCCATAGAGGTGTACGGAAATCACTATTTCCCTTACCCTTCATGGGTTCTTTTGGGCATGGATTTTGTGTTTTTTATTATCTAGTGCGGAAATCACTATTTCCTTTACCTTCATGGGTTCTTTTGGGCATGAATTTTGTGTTTTTAATTATCTAGTGAATAGATTCTTCATGTTTTCTATTATTTTGTGCGCTTATTATACAAAATGTAGTAGTATGTGTACAAAATCCCCTCAAAAAAGCATGTGAATTATCAATTAGTGTTGCAAATCTTTATAGAAAATTGAAGTGTCCAGCAGTGCTCAACTTGTAGTGAACGCAATAGGTGAACCTATCTGCAGTTGGTGAAAGTTTTCCAACTTTGTGACCTGAAACACCTTTTTTTTTTTCCTTTAAAGCATGAGAAAAGGACTCTTGTGAATTGAAAGAAACCACCGATCACCACGAGATGGCTCAATGATTGGGAATGAATTTCAGGCTCGTATCTTGGGTTCGATTCTTGATGTTGATGAATCACATGATGGTGGCTAAAGGGAGGATAAAATACCGCTATGAGTCTTCCTGACCCCTAAAATGATGAACTGCCGTGGCGAAGCCACCAGCTAGTCCTCGTATTGGAATTGAAATAAACCACCACAACAATGGCCACAACAAGACAACATGCATAAATTTGTAAGGACCAATGGTGCTAGGAACCCTGTCCTGCCGGCCAAAATGTTCCAAGATTGATGCAGATATTTAAGAGTAAAAAGGATTGGAAATTGGAATCAGCATAGAAAGAGACATGGAGAGAAATACATCAACGGTGTTGCTGCCTCGTAGCCAGTTGGGGTATCTTCTAGTGTCAATCTTTCATCACGTGAGGAAAAACCAACACTACTATGCGAGAAAACTTAACTTGTAACTGGTTATAAATAAACAAAAAAATATATAATCGGAAATAACTGAGAATTTCTTGTGTTTTGGATCTCCTAAAACTTCCCATTGTTATCACTCCCTAAGACCATCTCCAACCCTCGGGCTAAAAGCCAAATTTTTTAGCTGGAAAAATTTAGTTTTTAGCCTAGAAATAGCTTTTCTGCTCCAACTATTCTGGTCTAAAATTTTACCCCGGAGTTATTAAATAATGAACTTAGGCTAATTTTTTTCTTAAATCAAATTTAAAAAATAAATAAATATGTAGACTATCGTAAATTAATTTTATGAACATTTTAATTTAAAAATATTTAAATTCCGATAAATATTGAAAAACCACTAAATTTTCCACAAAGCAAGCCTTCAACTTTCACCAATCTTTCAACTTTCACCAACCGTTCAACTTTCATCAATCATCCTCTATATAAACATAAGTCCAATATTAGTTGATCACACAATCTTTCAACCTTCAATCATCCTCTTTATTCACCAATCTTTCAACTTTCAAAGAGTTTTTGTTTCCTAAAAATCCTCAATATCTCATCAATGGGTGATAGAAAAAGGCGTAGCAGGGCAATGCAGATGACACAATACCAAGCAAGGCTTGACATTGAAGATGCAGAATTGATCAACGCCGAAGTTGAACTTGTAAACTCATTTATGCAATATGAGCACCATGACGAATCTAGCCATCGTGGTTCTATCACGGGGTGTTCATTTGTGCAGCGTGATAGAGAAGAGTGTCATGACCAAATGATGAAAGATTATTTCATCAAGCGTCCGAAATTTCCTGCTCATGATTTTCGAAGGCGGTTTCGGATGAGGAGAGAATTGGTAGAAAGATAAATTAGAAGAATTGTAGGATAAAATTGAGTTTTGTGTGGATGTTTGAACAAATACATAGGTATTTATCGAGTTTTTGGGTGAATTTTGAGTTAAATAAAAAAAATTTAATTATTTTAGCCGTTGGATTTAAATTTGGGCCGTTAGATTTTTTTTTTTTTTTTTTTTTTACTGTTAGATTTGATTATATTCAATCTCAGCCGTTGTATTTAATGTATTTTAAAATAACATATTTTTTAAAAATAAAATTTGAATCTGGACCATTGGATCATATTTGATTATATTTTTTAAAATAACATATTTTTTTAGCCGTTAGATTTGATTATATTCAATCTCAACCAACGATCCTTAAATGCTGGTCGTTTGATGCGGAAAAAAGTCGTTGGGCTCGAGGGAAGTGGCTGATAGGGGCCCTGACAGTGGGCCCTCCGTTGTCGGGAGCTAAATGAAGGCGAGCCGCTTGGGGTGCATCGGCAAGTGGGCGGGCCATGACTGGCCCAAAGTTTGGCGAGTCCACGCGTTTTTTTTTTGTGTTGTGGGGGGGGGGGGGGGGGGGGGAGGGGGTGGTTTTATTTGGCCCAACTTTAGCATTTGGTTTTTAGCTCAATGTTTTAGCTTGGGGGCGGGGAGAATAAATGGGGTAATTTAGCATTCAGCCCAGGATTGGAGGAGGTCTAAAAGGAATAGTGCAACAATGACCATTTGAGGTAAAAAGTAAAGGATAAAAAACACGTTAAAGGAAATCACAAAGTTCATGACAAAGACCCAATGTGTTGTTAACCTGATATAAAATATCAAGAAAGAACAATGATTATCTGTACAGCAGATATTTGTGGCAAAGAAAATTACAAGTTTGAAAGTCACTCTCAATCAGTACAGGTGATTTGGCATTTTTTTAGTTCCCTTGATGGAGTTGAAGAACATGTACAAAAACTGTTCCTGTAACAGAACGCAATATGCGACGAAAGAACAGAAATACCTTAGTATCCTATGTATCGGAATTTTTTACTGTTCAATCTTGGTTATTGTAACTTTTAACCGTAAAATTTTAATCATTGTATCTTTAAGTAAAAATCGAACCGTTGTAAATCTAAAACTCTAAGATGAAGGAGGATTCTCTTCCCTTTCATCCCCTCCTTTCTTTCCATGCGTTCATTCCATTGCCAAAGTGATTCAAGGCTCAAGATTAGGCCATGTCAACCACATGTCAATTGCTTTGCAGGAGCTGGTAAATAGCACTTGAGAAAATTTCTATAATGCGTTTTATTTTTTTGCAAGACAATATTCTAAATTACTCTAATCGACAAAAAGAAAATGGATTCAACTTGCTTATGAAAACGCTTACGTTGATACTGCTCTAGCCAACTGGCCTAACCATCATCACGATAGAGAGAGAGAGAGAGAGAGACAGTTGGCAATGGCAAATAGTTATTCTTTAATTTCTAATTATAAGTAAACTCGAGCCTACAGAGGTACATACAAAAAACATAAAAAGATAGGCTGCCTGGAAGTGTTGATCCAACTGACCAAACCACATCCATCCATCACGAGAACCTTACTTCTTCAACTATAATACAACATGAAAGAGATGGCACCCTATCTGTTATCTACCTTTTTACAACAATATGCAGGTGCCATGACGAGAGCTCTACTCTCCCCTCCGTCTTCCGAGTTCTGACTACTCATTTCTTCGAGTTCTTACTGTACAGAGTTTGTACGCAGAAGCCGTAATATACGATATGCAACCCGCTTGGGCTTTTAACTGCATATATCCCATCTATCGTATTTAGGGATGTGGCGACCAGGCGAATAGTGCTGTGCAGAAACGCACAAGCATCCAAGAAATATAGCATTCGCATTTGTTATCAATCCCAACCCATCAGCATCTTCCAAACTTGTTCCTCAATCGTGCTCCTTGGAACTGACAAGCCAACTCCTTCGTCAATTAAGACTCTATAAACTTCCCATTCCCTATCTGCAATCAGATGCCGTCCAATCTTAGCCTGGAAAAGAAATAAGAAAATTGTAATTAAGCCAATAGAGAAAGGTAAACAAAGAACCGAGTGATCATAACAGTAAATGTCTTCTAACTCTTGGCCGGAAACAATGACCTAAAGATAAAACCAAGAAGCCTGTCTAGTTAGCACCATTAGCATATGCATGAATAAAACGAGATCATAATTTGTAAAACTATGATTTTTCTGTCCCATCAGTTGTTACCGGAGCTGGGATGATATTTTGTAAAAATTCGATAAAGTGAAGATAAGGAAGTACCGAAAAGACACCAACGTCCAGCATCTTGAAAGCAAGGGTGATATCATAAAAAACAAGAGGCCGGCCCTTGCCAGATAGTTCCACAGGGTTTGCAACAAGGAGCTCTGTGTCCGGACCGCGGTTAACAATAGCTACTCTGAGAGGACGAATCAGTTCCAGCTGCAAACGGGATGTCAATGCAGTCTGCTTGCTGGGGTCAACTATCTTCTTTCCATCAGCTTGCATGACGAACAAGTCAATCTCACAGTGCCTTTTTTGTTGTATAGAGAAGCGCCCATAAGAGATCTGGTTTGTCGCAGCGTTTAAATATCATTATCACAGAATTATATGGTGCGTTCCTTTCTTGATGCAAATGTTGCGTTAGTTATGTACCTGAATATTGTAATCCTTTAGCGTTCTCATTATATCATAAAGAAGACCTTTGTGGTCTATGCAACTGATTTGGACCAGCGTGTGACCAGGACTGAGCGTGTTGTCCATAGTCACAGAAACACTTTTGGAAGTGAGTGATCCACTTCGGAGTTCTTTGGGCATTTCCAAATCAAACATGTCTTCTGTAATTGCAGTTGGAAGAAATGAAGACGCCTGCGAACATGCAGTAATCTCAGGGCCAACCATTTCAATTCCACAACTTATCATGGCGTCCCCCGTGACTTCTTTTAAGTAGTCATATACCTCCTCCTTTCTCTTATTTGTATGCATAAGTTCCCTGATAAGGTCACAGTTTCAGAAATTAAATCACTTACAAACACGAATAAGTTGAATGAGATGATTGCACAATTTCAAGATTCCTAACAGATCAACATAAAATGGTTCGGATTCAATATGAATGCTCAAAGTTCAGACCAATGGAATGTTTGAGTCATTCAACTTCTTCTATTCCGCGTGCAGGGCCTATTAAACTTGTAATATTCCCAATAATTCCATGGAACATCATGCTTTACAGAACAAATGAAGAAATAAGAACCTGGTGTCTGTGACGAAAAACAGGTCCATCACTTTCTCATCTGGAGTTGTGGATACCTTAACTTTCTTTATCGTCAGCTCAAGTTCACAGAGGACACCCGTCACATCTGCGCAAAAAATTAAAAGCATGTAAGCCACCGATTAATAACATATATAGTCCTGTGCCTCATGGAATGGTTCTCACAGCACAGCAGAAGCAGTTTTTTTTTCAAAGCACAGCAATACCAAACCAGCCCTTCATCTTGGCTCCTAAAAGTGGCTACTTTGAGATTGTTAGTTCGCATTTTGTCCCTATGAATTCTCAACAATCAAACTCGAATGGAAGTTCTCGAAAATTTCAACGGCACACCATAAAACCTTCCACCATGATGATCTTTTAATAAGATTCTTCATTCAACCCCAATTTCTAAACAGTTTAAGAAACTTGCAAATATAGAAACAAGAATCGAATGCCGAACAGAAAATTACCATGCAAAAGTCCTCGTCGATTGTAGCAACAGAACTTGAGAAGGAACACATCAGGAGGCTTTGGGGGCTGCAATTCGGAGCGGTAGAACGAAATCCCAGAAGCCGAAGAACAAGAAGGGCAGGTCCCCACTAGCCTCTTCTTCAACAAACCCCACCTTGTCTCTGGACTCCCAATCACCCAAAACACTAAGAAGCACCATTTCCCATCCGTCGATACATCTTCATAGCACAAAACAGAAAGGGGAATTAGAAAAACACTTCCAAATTCAAGCACCCATTTTTTTTGTTTTCACAGAATTTGATCAACACACCCATAACCAGTTTCACAAATTCACAGAAAATCTCAGTAACCCCTGTCTGGTTTAGCAAAATAGAACATACCCATCAAACTGTTTTGAGAAAATACAAATACAAAAATGAAAGAGAGCCTAATCAATCCCCTGTTTGGTTGCTGAGAAAACAGAAGAACGAAAATTTCACACCTAAAAGAGAAAATATTGAAACTTTACAATTTTTTTCTTCAGAAAGTGAGAAACACAACCAAAGAATCAAATTTCGGATTCCTTTCTTTCCCTGCATATTCTGAGCAACCAAACAGCATGCAAGAAGAAGAAAAAACACAAATCCATTTGAGCAAATTTACCTCCCCGGACAATGCTAAGACCAAAGAAGAGAATGATGCGACACAAGTCACAACCCAAGCCAGTCTTGTCCGGACAATTGATTGTAATTACACTTGGGTCCCCTTCTTTCTCCGCCTGCTTGATGATCACCACATCATCGTGCAGAATCCCCATCTCTTCTTCTTCCTCCTTTCAGTTCTTGGATTTTAAAGTTTGAATAAGAAAAACAGCTGTTCGGCTTTTGGAGTGATGTTCTTTGCTTCTGAGGAAGATGAACAGAGAGAGAGAGTTGGGTGGTGGGGTTTCCTTCTCCTTCCTCTTACTTCACACCTTCTGCTTCACTTGTTCTTCTTGTTGTCGTAGCTTTCTTGTCACTGTATCTTAATCTTCAAAGCTCATGTTTTTATAGGTCTTGTGTACATCGGCCACGAGATTATACTGGTTTCGTGGGCTTGAATCTCCAACCATAGGTCTACGCTATTATTCACACCGTAAGATCAAAAGGTTATTTTTACCTCTGTTTTTTCGAACTCGATTTTAATTTAATTTAATTTTTTATAACTTAAAAGTCGTTATTCTATTCTTTAAAACTCACAGTTCGTTTCATTTTTTCTTAGAACTCTAGTTTGATCATATTTTACTCATTGAAACTTGAAAATCGTATTTACAAAGCTCAAAAATCTCTACATATTACCTTAAATTTGTTAATTTCTTATGTGAGTTTGATTTGGATGTGCCAAGGTAATCAATTTTATTTTCAACTCTTCAATTTCTTTTAAACTAAGTATTCTTTAATTGTTGAATGTTAACACATAATAGAGATTTAAATCAAATATATTACACATGTGGCATCGGGTGTTGCGGCCCCACATATATTTTAGAATGCGACCTTATAAGTTTCAAGAAGAAGAAAGAGTTTACAAGTCAAAGTGTAACAAATTTGAGTTGCAGAGAGTAAAGTAATAATTTTTGAATTATAAGGGTAAAGTCGATATATTGACACTTAAATAATTTCATCATTTTGTATTCCCAATTACAATATATCCCTTTCTAAAATTAATAAAGGTTGCTTTTGTTTAACATTAATTGAGCATTAGTGTGTTGGGTCGTTCAACTTATAAAATACTTCTTTTTTTTTCTTTTTTTGAAACACACTTATAAAATACTTTTGGTCTCAATCATCCATCATTTCTTTCCAACTCAGTTCGTTCCACCCCTAAGTGAGGAGAAATTTTAGTTGTAACGGGAATACAAATGGTACATTATTTATTTTTATGCAAGTGGTGAAAATTTTAATTTTTAAGTTATTAATCTTTTAACACACATAACCCACCATTTTTATAAGAACACATGGTGTATCACCTCATCTAACGATCACACTGAAAAATCTCTGCAAAGAGGAAGAACCCCCATTTCTTTCTTTCCAAGTTGGATTTTTTTTTTCTCTCGAAGGTCAAGTTGGAGTTCTTAAAACTTAATTAAAAATAATATAATTAAAATTGGAAATACGCATAATTTGGTGCCAATGCTTCTTATCTGAAACGTAAGCAACCAACAGCTTTATGACGTGGCATCGATCCGGTTCGATATCATTGGATCTAAGGGTGAAAATTTTTACTAAATTACCGTATCAACCGTTCTACCAACCATACTGTACTAAATTATTACCAAAAATTTGTACCAATTGGTAATGGTACGGTATTTGTACCGTATCATACTGTTTCGGTATGGTACTAGTACCCAAAACCAGTACCGGTGGTATACCGTACCTACCAATATTATTAATATTATATTATGTATTTATTCATATAATTATTTGAGGGCAAAATTAATAAAATTTATAATAATTATTGTAGAAGTGTAAAAAATGTAAAAAAAATATACAATCACTCATAGTAACAAGCTTTACAACTTTCATGAAGAGGTCAACTTCAAAATCCAATACTATAATCCATAAACCTTAAATTTATATTTAACCGTTGATTGTCATTTATGTTTTATTCTTCTTACTGAATTTCATTTGTAAAATTTTTTTTTTTTGAAAACATGATCATCTAGCGGATGTAAGAAGATGAACGGTTCAAATCTTTGATATCACGTTTCTATATTTATGGTTAACTAAAATATGAGTTGATGTCATATAGTTTGTAGAAACTTTATAAACATCAAGCAATATTTTTACTAACTGTAAAACTTTGAACATAATATCAACGATCCAAACCGTTCATCTTCCTGCATCCTCTAATAGATCATGTTTTCAAAAAAGAAAATCCAAAAAAAACAAAATTTGATGAGAAAAATGAAGCATAAATGTAAATAACAATCAACAGTTAAATTTTAATCTATGATTTATATGATTATAATGGTGAATTTCAAAGTTAAGATCTTCACGAAAGTTATAAAGCTTGTCATTACGAGCGTTTATATATTTTTTACACTTCTACATTAATTAAAAGATATTGTATTTTGGGCAAACTAAGTGATGTAAAACAAAGTGGCAATTACCATTGGCATACCATACCAACCAAACTATTTGGTATACCGAATATCGGTATACCTAAAGTTTTGTACGGTAATGAAAATAGATTTTGCAGTATCAAATATTTGGTATGATAATTGGTACAGAGGTTTTGGTACGGTAATGTACCAAAACCACCCCTAATTGGACCTGGTTAAATTCAAGGGAACTTTAAAGAAATACTCCTGGTACTGTTCATTTTAACGAAAAATCATATTTTTACACTAAAAAGTCAATCATGATACTATTTACTTTAGCCTTCCCTTTGTTCTTATCGTTAAAACTCAAAATTTTGAAATCTTTTTTATTAATTTTCCTTAAATTAAAATGATCGGCAATTAGCAATTTTAGCTGCCTACCTCAAAACTCCCCATTATCTCATTTACGGAGAGCGTGGAGGAAAATATTCTTTTGTTCGCGAGAAATTGGCGTGAAAGTACACGTGCGGACTCGTGACTTGTCTCGGCTAGCGTGCAGGATTAGACGCGCACATACGGAGCGTCAGCCGCCATCACGTCCCTTGTATTTTTTTGTTGATGGTCCACTCACGTGCTCACTTACATCTTGGCGGAGGCTTCAAGAAAACTTTCTTTGTCGAATTCCGGCTCACAAGTCACATTCCCCCCGCTTTGATTTTAATTAGTTCCACCTAATCACCTTCTTTGAGTAATTAGACTTAATTAGTGTTTTCATTCAACAAACGTAATTTGATTTATTAATTGTCTGATTAATACAGCTGGTCACTTTAAAATAAAAGTAACAGAATGAAAAAAAATATAACCCGATTTGAATTATTACTGTAAAATGAATGAAATATAATCATACTCACGAAGGTGCAACTAAGTAGTAGTGAATGCAGGACTATCCTCTTTGCATCCAACAATAGTGTGCACCACTCCAACAATTTTTTCCAATGTTCTCAATAGGGCATTCGCTAAGCATTTAGCCTATTTCTAGGATTGTATACTTAGAATACATCCCTGCTGTTTAGTACTTTTTTAATTGTGTATTTATGCGTTGTAGGTCAAACAAAGAGTAAAATTATATTTGTATAAGGTTGAAAGCTCAAATTTATAAGATGTTTAGGAGAAGGAAGGGTTAATGAGTCTTTGCTATTTTAAGAAAAAAATGACTAAATTTAAACTTTAATAAAAAAAATATTTTTTATCGTTTCGCAAAAATAAACATTTCTGTGATTTTGGATGAAGATCGAGTGATAGAGTTGCACTGAAGAGAAGTCGTCGTTGTTTAACCTCTGTTGAATTCGTGTGTTTCACCAAAAATAATCATTATAAAAACATAAACAATTCTAATCACAAACACAGTTCTAATTGATCACGAAATGTTTTTTGAGTAAAAAAACTCTTCACATTTTTGTGGAGGTAAGCGGTCCATTTTCCTGTCGTTGAAATATAAAAATCAGTTGTGACCGCTTGAAGGAAAAGAGTGACGTCAGGTGCACGGCGTCATCAATCTTGGTTGATAATAATGATTTGAGTAGTTCATATAAACAGACGGCCAAGATGAGCTTGAATCTTTGCTAAAGTTCGTGCGCATTCAAAAAAATCAAAAGAGGCAAGAAGTGCGCATATATACAACACGATGGTACGTAATGGAATCTTATTGCTACATATTTTTTAATAAATTTTGGAATTAGTTTATAAAGTTTTCACCCAAGTTTATAATTAGTTTTTTAATTAAAAAAATTGTTACTTAATTGTTCTTGAATTTAACGAAATGAGCATCATTAGTCCTTGTCGTTAACGTTTCAGAAAAATTTAGTTAGTCTTATGATGTAGCACAAACATGTAAGTCCGGCCTCATATTCAATAATATATGTTCATTGACCAAATCTAAGCTACAATAAAAATTCATGGGACTGTTTTCAAACTAGAATAAAGGTTTGTAGACTAAGTTTAAACTAGAGTGAAAGTTCATGAATCAATAATGGGTTTCATGTCCTGCACGTAATCAAATGGACGGAAAATCTCATGGAGGGACCAATTGTGCATTATTTAACGAAATGAGCATCATTAGTTCTTGTCGTTAACAATCGTTGAAAATTAATTAGTCTGACTGATGTTGCGGCACACTATAGAATAAAGGTTCGTAGATTAAGTTTAATCTAGAGTGAAAATTTATTAAATTCATACTTAAATTGACAAATTTTTAATTCAGATATCAAATTTAAACTACGATGAGGGACCAATCCTTTATTTTACCACTTATAGATATTTTCATTGGAATGTAATTTACTATTACCAAAAATTAAAAATTAAACCCGTTCTTGAAAGGAGTATAAAGGAATAAAGAAACGATAAATTCCATTCAAACGGTCAAGTGTGTCGCATAGAAGAGCAACAAAACCTACGGTGTCCATAATACCACGTTATATATACACCTCAAATTGGACTATCTATCTTGTATAGTGGTCAATGCAACCATAATATATATATATATATATAAATGTTGATATATACAATAATTAACCAGCTAGGGTTGGGTTCCTTCCTGGGATGGAAAGAGAGAGATAAGGTCTTTAACGTCTTTAACAACGCGAAAGAGACGAGTGCTTCTGCTCTTAGCGTTGGTTTTTAGGGTTTTAACAGATTAAGTCGTTGTAGTTGTTGATAGCTAATAGCTAATTGGCACGTGTCTTGTTTGGGGGACGGGCAGATAGTGACAAGGCAACCAAAAGGGTTTAACTTTAAGGGTGTTGCTTTCTAAGCAGTGGTAAGCAACCCACTTTTGACATGTTCGTCTACTCAGGGTGTGATGATTCATTGCGTGCGTCATGATTTTCCTACCTTTTTTTTTTTTTATTTTTTTATGCCAAGCATATAGTATCTCACAATCCAGATACAGCCCCCT